ACGCCGCTTTCGCCTTGACACCTCGCGTGACAGCAGTCGTGGCTGTGTGACATTGTCTATGTAAAACTTAAATGGTCGAACAAGGGAAGCCATAACTGCAGTAACAGTAACATTCACGACTATTGTTTCGTTGTTGATGTTTTCAGACAGGAAAGCTACTTGGTCGTTAACTTGCAGAGGATTTGTATCTAAAAAGAAAACGAAGCAAGTCTCAAATGTTTGATAGGAAAGGAAAGGTGTATGAAAAGTCAAATGAACCTTAGCGCAGTTTTTTTGCTGCCATACCTGTGCAGTTGGCTTGGTTTGTCATTCTTGTCTTACCAAATGTTCCTGTATTAACTGGACAAGTCTTACAATATTTTTGTCCATGTTCATCCTGATAAGTGTCAGAAGGACAAGAGACACACGAACGGCCGGTGACGAAGTGAAATCCAGGCAAACAACCTGAAAAAGTGATACAATTTGTGTGAAACGTTTGAGAAAAAAACACAAAGATTCTGTCCAGTGTCAAAGAATTTTTCAAGGAGAGGGACTAAGGGACGCGGACACTGTTAGGAAGGGAAGTCAGAACTGTAGTAAAAGTAACATTTGCGACTATCTTTCGTTGTTGATGTTTTCAGGCAGGAAAACTACTTGGTCGTTAACTTTCAGAGCATTGTATCTGAAAAGAAAACGAAGCAATCTCGAATGTTTGATAGGAAAGGAAAGGCGTATGAAAAGTCAAACGAACCTTAGCGCAGTTTTGTTGCTGCCCATACCTGTGCAGTTGGCTTGGCTTGTCATTCTTGTCTTACCAAATGTTACTGTATTAGCTGGACAAGTCTTACAAGACTTTTGTCCTTGTTCATCCTGATAAGTGTCAGAAGGACAAGGAACACACGAACGGCCGGTGACGAAGTGAAATCCAGGCAAACAACCTAAAAAAAGTAACACAATTTGTGTAAAATTTTGGAGGGAAAAAAAAAACAAGATTCTGTCCAGTGTCAAGGAGAGATATGAAGGGACGAGGACACTGTTGGGAATTTTCCGCGCTTGCCTTTAGTGGAAATACCGCTGCACAAACCGTGTGTATCATTTTATTGATGGAATGTTTATTTCTTTCAAAATAGAAATGAAAATTCCTTACCGCAACTGGTATTTGAAACCTTGATTGAGCCAACGGCACAGCAGGGCGGCGGTTTATCCCCACCACAGCATGACTTCTTCTCCAATGAAGATGGTTGGTTAATTTGGTATGTG